GTAAATTTTTTTTTTGATATTTTTTGAAGATTCACCTATTTTTTATGAACACACATCTAAATTTTCAAGTGATTTGGATTTGTGGAAAAAAACTAAAATTCAAATACTAGTAGACATCCGTTATCGTCAGATCGGTCCATAATCAATCTGGGATGTTGGGCTCATATGTTCATATGAGCCAGTGGGCTAATACCATCTTTTCCCATTTATATATTATATATTTATGTAATATAAGATATTTTATTATATATAAAAAATAAATATAAAATACACTATATTATAAATTATAGTATGTTATAAATGTCATATATTTACATTTAAATTATTACCAAATATTTGTTTTATACTATTATATGTAATACATATATTTATTTAATATAATATAATATATTATATAATATAAAATATAATATATTTTGAGTATGTAATAGATATTTACATTAATATATATATATATATTATTTTTATGTATAATATAAAAATAATATTTAATATATAATATTTAAATAAACGCGACTTTATATTTGTACAGGTTGTCAAACATAGGCACCTAGAACTTCTTTAACATTCCAGCAAGTTATCAAACATACACAGTCAGAATTTTCTTAAATAACTTCATTTTTCCCAACAAAAAAAAACTTCCAATTTTTAGAGGACATTTATCTTCTAGTTATCAAACAAAGCATGGATTGAGATCTGGCCAAAATAAAGTGCGCATAAAAAGCGATTGCATCAAAACCACCCTAATCAACAAGTAAATTATTTCCACCCAAAAAAATGATTTCGAAGCTCGAAAAGCGCTCTATCCATTTCCGATCATTCATGCATGGTGCAATATAGATCAAATCGAACAATTTGTTTTGCAAAATGGTGTGGTTTTCGTGACGCATCTTCAGTCAGGCAGTGGTCCAATTAACAACTCAAAACATTAATACAATGTTGTATCATTGTATTTTGCTTGATCATGTAAATGGGACTATGGGTAATATTATCATCACCTTTGTTAAATCATTTTTCCAACTAAATGGGGTCGGCTATACGAATCTTGGTCCGCAATTCTGCTCTATGAAATGCCATATCCTAGTGAGGCAATAAGTCTTCGTATCTTTTCTCACTCCTTCCAATCATGTCTTTTTTATCTTACCTATTGCATCTTTTAGCCTTCCACTTGATCTAATTTGCACCTCTTAATAGGTGTTGTATTGGTTTACGCCACACATGACCTGCCCACTTATGTCCACTCTCTCTCATTTTATCACGTAATGGTACCACACTTAAATTTTCCCAAATGTATTCATTTTGAATGATATCCCTTCTTGTGTTGCCATTCATCTATTTCAATGTCATCATCTCCGCTAAACTCGATATGTTGTTTTTTGACCCCCTAATATTATGCCTCATAAAGCAAACCTGGTTTCATAGTTATTCTATAAAACTTGCCATTTAGCTTCATTGGTATGCGGCGATCACATAAAATTTAGGTTGCATATCTCCATTACACCCACCAAGTTCTAATTCTATTTACGACATCTTCCCCAATCTCTCATTTTTTTTTAGATTATCGAACCAAAATATTGAAAGTGAGAGTACATGTAAAATTATATGGATGTCAAAAGTCCGTTCCCTCCATGGAGAAAGGATCCAAATGGGTAAGACTTACGTGGATATAAAACTCCATTCGTCGAGAAAGTATGCAAAATTGCCCCAATAGGCCTGCAATTTTTTTTTGAAGCCAAAAAGCTCAAACCATTGCCCACCATCCATGTGTAAATTTTTCCTACTCGGTATAGAGACATTTGGATTACACAACCATGATGTTGTTTGTCTTGTAGAATGTTACTGAAAAATAGAGAAATGCTATTTTACTTGTTATCAACATCTCGTTGTTTGGTGATTTGTGCTGCCATTTGTGATGATCTTTTCGGCTTATATGAACCTCCTATCAGCAAATTGCATTTGAACTTGATTCTTGTATGGTTTGTTTGGTATGAACATGGTTTTGGTTCTTCTTCTTATGTGAAATTGGCTTGATTGTTGTCGTGTGCACTTTGTTTTAGTTCGAGGTTTTAGCTATTAAGGTTTCGATTGAGAATTTAAATTTATTTGAATGTGTATCGATCTAGGCGATACTATATTTGAAATTTTGAATATTCTTGAAAAGTATATTCTTTGCGATACATGGATATATGTTTAAGACATTTGATTGCATTGATTATGCTTTCTGGTGTCATGTACTACTTTTTCCGGCTTATCTTGTCAAAATTCACAACAATCGAAAAAAATTGAAATCTAAAGCACTTTTAGAATTATTTGAATGCAAACACATGTACACATAACTTCTTCAACATTTTAACACAGTAATAATCAAACATAAGTACCCATAACTTCTATCAAACACAGTATCCATAACTTATTTTAACCCGAACGAATTTGTCCACTTATGAACAAAGAAAGTTATTTTTTTCAGGGAACATTTATGTTCCAGAAAACAAACGCCCCCTTCGTACTTTTTAGAACTTTTTTAAGGCACACGCACCCAAACCAAATACCTCTCTTTCAATCTGAAACCCTAAACAACAATACTCACTCTTTACTCTTTGAAGTTTCTCTTTTGACTCTGTTTGATTCCTCTTTCCAAGCTCCAAATAGCCAGGAAGCCATGAACTAGTGATTTGGGGCAATTAGGGGAGCACTATCACCATTATTTATGGCCCTTGCTTTTGGGAAGCTATCCATCTTTGTGGGAGCAGGTTAGCTATGGGTGCGTTCTAGGTTGTGTTCAATTGCAATTTCTCTCTTATCATCTGATCGAGTTATTTTGGAGTTGATGCCAAAATACGAATAGGCGAGTTTCTGGTTTTGTTAATATAATTCAAGTTAGATCAATTTGGTTTTGATTCTTGGTTTATTCTGATTTTGTTGCATCCATGACCGCTGTTTTTTTTGTAAGTTTTACCTTCAGGTTTGAGTTTTAGGCTTTTGTGATATTCGGATTGGATTAGTCATGGGCCAAGAGGTTGAGGCTTAGAAACTTAGTTGTTCTTCAAACTCTTTTTCCCAGAATATTGATTTTTTATTTTTTAGTTGGCATTGCTCGTACTATTACTATGGTTGTTCTTCTGTTTTTTTATATATGGCTCTTGAAGTTGCCTGGTTCTAATTGGTAAGGAAAATCCTAGACATTAGAGTAGACGTTTAGGGCATAGAATGAGCCTATTTGTTTTCTGAAACTCAGTCGAAATCTTAGTGGTATTTTTTTTCCTTCTAAACTAATGTAGCTGGAATTTGGTCTGGATAAAGAGTTTCTTTCTCAAGGATTAAATTGAAATACGACATTTTTTGAGTTTTTTTATCATTTCAGTTAATTAAAATTCATTTCACTTTCAAAAAAATTTATTTAATCTCTCTCTCTAAAACTTTTTGTGAATTGTTCTTTATAGTTTTAGTTAGAATTGCTTATAAGACGATTTATGATGGCCTTGATGAAACAACACATAAGATTCTGTAAATTTTTGAAGGCTTGGGCCAAATAGAATATGGCATTAAGCTTATTTTGTATCCAAGCAGGCCCCTGTAACGTGAATGAAAAGGCCTTATAAGATACAGTAGGAGAAGAGACTCAGATAAGAGATATGCAGAACGCAGTTGTGTTGCCCTCACCTGCGAGGCTTGGCCTCTCAACATCAACTCCTCTCCCTCTAAACCCAAACCAGAACCCAAGCCCAAGCCCCCAAATCTCAATCCCAGTACCCAACCAACCTTCAACTTCAACTTCCTCATCAATTCCGGCTCCTCCTCTTCTTCATCATCAGACCCCTTCCACTCTCCTCTCTCTCTTACCTCCTCATCCCCGTGCCCAATTTCTCCTCCTCCATCTCTCTGCCCTTACAACTAAGCTCTTTGACGTCTCAGGTACTCTCTCTCTTTCTTTCTGTAACTTTGCAACCCAATTTAATTTTCTGTACTTTTATAAGTTAATATGTGCACTTTCCTTAATCTAAGTGCCTGCCACCCCCTCCTTTCTCTTTCTATGCAGGCAACAGATCGTCATGGCTGGCATCTTACAGAGGAACTCTTCCCACCTTCCTCCCTGCCTCAACCCTCCCTCAAGAAGCATCCTCTGCTTCAACAACAAAGGAGATCCTTTCGCTTATCTCCTCTACCCAATCACAACTCTCTGAAGCCATTACAGAATTACAAGAAGCTCTTGACCTTGAAGAAGCAAAACGCAAGCTAGCAAGAGAAACCCACCTCAAAGATTCAGCAATGCTCGCTTTTGCCAAAAAGGTGAAGCAATCAGAGCAACTTCTCGGACATTTGGTTGAAGATTACGAAGATTACAGGAAACCCAAGAAGCGATTCAAGCCCAATTCTCAAGCCGAAGACAGTGGTGATTCTTATTTGAAACTCTCTGAGATTTTATCTTATGCTCATCGAATTAGTTACTCCACTTTCGCCCCACCTGAATTTGGTTCAGGACAGGCCCCTCTTAGAGGAGCTCTTCCTCCAGCTCCTCAAGAAGAACAAATGAGAGCCTCTCAATTGTATCAATTTGCTGATCTTGATGTTGGGTTACCGCAAAGGGAAGAAACAATAAAACCCACCTCTGTAACACCATCTGGTATTAATTTCGTTGAACCAATGGTTGACGTGAAGGCAATCCAAGGCTTGATAGTTCCACCTCCGATGCCTTCTGGTTGGAAACCTGGTATGCCTATTGAGATTGGTGATATACCCAGCGTTCCACCTGGTTGGAAGCCTGGTGACCCTGTTCCTTTGCCCCATGTTGTGGAGGTACCAGCAGGTTGGAAACCAGGAGATGCAGTTGTTCTTCCTAAACCCGCTGAAGAAACTGTTCCAATGGTTCAGAAGCAGATAGTTAGCAATGCACCAGAGCCTATCCAAGTCAAGTTTGTGCAGCTCGATATCAATCCGGATCAGGATGATTATAGTAGCGAGTATAGTAGTGATGTGGGTAGCTCTGAGGAGGATGATGAAGAATGAGAATTGGGTGTGATAATTTCTGTGGGTTGCTCTGATGTGGTTGTTAGGAAGTGGGATTGTGATGGAGAATTGGGTTTTGGATTTGGGATAGGAACCATATGTGGGAATTGGCGCATATTTAAGTAGTTGCGTTTGGATATAATTGTGGACTATACTTTTCTGCAGTGGAGCAGATTGGAAAAGATATGTGCAAGTTATGAGGTGGGAAATATTTTCTTATTTTGGCGCAGGAAACAATGTAAGTGAAATCAACTAATTTTGTTGATTACAAGAGTCTTGATTTCCCAATTTGACTTTAGTATGTGACCTTTTATATATATATAAAAAAAGAATTTGCATGAAGTTTGTAAGAAATCTGCTTCATTAATAATAATACACATTTCAAATTCCTGACATCAATTTGTGCATTGTGGAGTATTTGGCCGATAAGGGTGTATGTTACAAAAGTTTCTTTTTAATTATTTAATCTTGTCAGAAGGCACCCCAAATGCCTATTTGGGAATTCTGATTGAGTATGACTCGGGATCTGTATCTCCACATCTTTTCATGCCTGTGGTCCACTCCATGAAGGTTTCTAAGAAGGCCACCTCAAGTAGGAAGATTGAGGATTCAAATGTCAATGAAAGTTCCATACATGCAATTTCTTGATGATTCAATTGTTCTCTATGACAGTTGTTCTAAATATTTAGCTTATATTTCTTCAAAAGTTTTCTGCAACTAGGAATTCTTTAACAACACGTTACTTACATGTATGAGGCAGACCGTACCTATCTATATTTGAGGTGGACTCCCTCCCTTTCTATCTTTGAGGTTGACTCTCTTCTATTCCTCTTAGTTGGACCTATCTCTTTCATTCATGGGTTCTTGATATATATTAGTTTAAGCTACCTTGTAAACAAGCTCAATCGCAGTCGGAAGAGGACCAGCTCCTTTCATTTGAAGGCGAATAATTATTCAATCCAGATTCACACGTTTATTTATGGCATTTGATATTACAGAAATTTGCTTCTTGGTGCCTTTGAGGTTTGATAACATAGATGTGAATTTGGATGCTTTTCTTGTAATTAGTGAATTTTCATGCTTTGGACAGAGGAATATAACTGATGGAGTTACATTGTGAAGATCAGTTTCTAGTGGCAGCATTGAATTACAATTATCAACTTGGCTGCTTGGTAGCAATAGGATGGATAGCGGAAGAGGCTTACTTTCCATCAGAGGATGAAGGAAGGAGTGATCAACATGGATTTGAAAGGTGATTAAGATTATCAACTTGGCTGCTTGGTAGCAATAGGATGTATAGTGGAAGAGGTTTACTTTCCATCAGAGGATGGAGGAAGGAATGATCAACATGGATATGAAAGGTGATTAAGATTTGAAATACAAGTGTTTGTAGGTGCATGTAAGAATGCAATGTTGGATAGGGAGGGGTTCAGTTACTTAAACTCCTTGAGAACATTTGTAGGATTCTCAACAAGAACAGATGTAGACACGAGTTTCCATTAGGAATCACCAATTAATCTCAAAGGGGATTTTAGCTCTAGGAGTTACAATATTTAGGCTCATTCTATTGTGTGAATGGGATGAGCAAAGGATGATTGAACTGCTAAAGAATTCAAATGCACCCATTTTTCCAAAAGTGGGCACTAGTGCCAGCTTCCATTGGTTTGGTGCTCGTGAGGGGCATTTTTCATGCATTTAGTGCCTATGGACCAATGAGAACTGTAGGCTAAGAATGGAAATCAGCTTTGCTAAGTTCACAATGGAGCTCACTGCAGTTCGTCCTAAGAAGAGAAGTGTTTTAGATATTTAGCTGATTCAGCAGATGATGATCATTGAAGAAAATATAAGTAAAAAAGAACAAAAAAAAAATAAAGGGAAGGCTGGAGATTTTAAAACTTCTAAAAATAGATAATTATGCAAAAATAGAAAACAAGGAGTGAAATTTAGGGACATTTGAAATCATTGAGATGTTGAATGCTGGAGTAATGCAGATAAGGGTCGGGTTTAGTATGTTTGGGGATGCATATATTTTTGGGGGGTTGACCCATCCAAAATCCATCTTAGATATGGATTTTGGAACCCCACTTCTCTAGATCTATCATCTTGATCATGAATACGAAAAGACAATCACTCGAGCCTGAAAAAAGGGCCATATTGTATCTCTTTTTGTGGACTGTTCATATCGAAACTTCAAAGATTATCACATCACACTCTAAATTTATGGATTTGAGGTGAAATGGATTTGCAGTGATTGGGCATGTGTTTTACGTCATAAAACCCTTGAAAACTGGGGAAATTCATGAGTTGGCCAACTTGCCAAGAACTTTTTGTTCGGATAAATGTTCATTTGATTTTCCAGAAAGATCTGAAACCCTCATGTCATCTATAAATTTGTGGCGCATAAATACACATTCATGTCCGTAATTAATTGACTACCGCAAAAAAAGAAAAATAAGCACTTGCCTTTCATGATTTCCTATCCCAATCATCCATGATCTGTGACCAAGTTTGTCATAAAGAGAAACACATCCTTAGCTCCTTCTAATAATTCTTAGGGCATGTTTGACAAGTGGGAGTTTTCGGAAGTGAGAGTTGAACGTCCCACTTTCACGATTGATATTATAGTGTTGAAGCTGCAAAGTGGAAGGTCGGCCTTCCTCGCAGCATTTCTTTAGCATCAAAATGGGTCCTTTTTTGGAAGACCTTCCTTCCATAAAAAATGAAGGAAGGGTGGTCTTCCATAATTTGTGGGAGACTCCCTTCCACTACCAAAAAATCCATGTGTCAAACGTGCTGAGTGAGAACCTTAATCAAGCACTTCTATCATTTTTTAGGGAGAATATCATATTAGCCCCTCTCTAGAATAAGGACTTCAAGTCAAACCCGCTAATTTCGTTCCTCTCAACTAGCATGGCCATTTGACTATAGATTTCATCGAACTCTTGTTCACCCCATCCCCTTTCCTTATGCTTTTCTGCCGAAATAAGCTCATGAAAACCTTTTATTTCCATGCAAGTGCAAATTCTCAGATCGCCTTTTATTTGATTCTCTCACAGGCTTAACTGAGGTGGCATGGCACTTCACACAGTTAGAAGTTAGAAGACTGAATAATTTTTCCCAAATCAAATAGTTAGGATAGACTTTCGGGGAAGGAAGGACTTGAAGTGAGAAAGCAGGTTTCTCCATAGAGACACGTCCTCAAAGTCTCAAACCCTTGAGAAATGCCAAAAAAGAGAACAAGATGACCCAATTTCTCTCTCTCTCTCTATCTCTCTCTCTCTCGTGTTTAGATACTGACCCATTCTCTCACTAACAAGAAGCTACAATATCTTTTACTTTCTCTCTGTTAGAGCTATGGTCACTCTCTCTCCACAACCTCAGGGTCCAGAACCGCTCGAACCCACCTAGATTTGAATCCATCAGGCACATTATCCATTGGCTTGAGCCCACCTGGTCCTATCAACGGTGTTCAAATGGCATCATGGCACAAATTCACACCAAGGAAGCTCGGGTTGGAGCTTTAATCGTGGTTTCAGCAGGGGAAACACTAATGTCCAAGCTATCCAGCTTTATCTGATGAATACAGGAGAGAGAAACTATATAGGATGACAGAGAAACAGTAAGGGCAGTTCCTAAACAGAGCAAGATTCTCTAGCCAAACAGAGTCCCAACGTCAATATCTTATCAGAATAAGAAGTATAGCTTCTTGGACTTTATAGTTTTGTTCAATGGTTTAAAAAACGGATCGGTGATTCGGATCGGGCTCTCAAAAAACCGATCCGGATCGGCGAATCGGCGATCCGGATCGGGAATCGACGATCCGAATCGAGAATCGGGTGAATCGGTCAAAATAAAGCTTAAAAAAAATCCGAAAAACTTATTAAAATTCATTATAAATATTGTTTTTTAGGAATTCAATAAGAAATGATGGTACTCCTTTAAGAATTTTCATGTTTTTGAATGAATATGCGAATATTGATATGTTCTTTCCCTGCATGAACCGCCATTCAGCATTTAATTTACATCACACAAAAGGATAAACATAGAATTATCATGGAATAAGTATATCAACATACATGGACTACAATAAAGCATAAAATTAATAACATATGATCTAAAAATAAAATGATAGACGACGTTATTGTTCTTCTTGGTCACGCTAGTGCCATTGATTGAATTCGTTTAACAATTCATTGATCCGATCTAAAAACGAATCATCGATATTAGCAGGCGTCTGACTATTCCCAAATCCTTGGATGTTAGTGTTTTGTTGTGTTCCCAATCTAAAATCCCCGAAGATTGTCCATCCTTCATGTTCACCTGCACTGTCGTGCTCATCCCTACACTGTTGCTGTTGGGACTCGATATGTGAATAATATGGTTGGGATAGGGTGGCTTCAGAATCATCATCTCTCTCATTTTCTCTTTGAATAATATGGAATTAAAAAAAAAAAAACAAATTTTCAAAAAATCGATCATGGATTAAAAAAAAAAAATCACAAATTTTCAAAAAATTCTATCATGGATTACAAAAAAAATTCGATCATGGATTAAAAAAAAAAATCACAAATTTTCAAAAAATTCTATCATGGATTACAAAAAATTCGATCATGGTTTACATAAAAATCGATCATGGATTACATAAAATTCGATCATGGATTACAAAAAAAAACAAACAAACAAAAAA